ATTGGTTAGGATGCTGAGGTGTGCAGCCTGACAGGCATCAAAATATATAGAAACAGATCCTTTATGTGAATAAGGGAATACCTGTGTTTTGCTTATGAGTTTTCTAGTTCCAGCGTCTTTAGGATTGGCCTATGAGGGTAACAAAGGTTTCCCTATTTGGATTTCAAACCAGAAGTCATAGGGTGGAAGGCCTGGATCATAACACACTTGAGGTTGCCCATTTCCTGGGTCACAGACAGAGTAGCTGGTTTGATTATAAACACATGTCTCCAGGGGAGTTCCTGTCCTGTACATTTATAATAAGTTTCATATAACAGGGTCTTAGTTATACTTTTACCAGACCAAGCTTCTATTATACAATAATGGCAGTTATCTTGGTTTCCTCCTGTGACTGCTAACATTATTGTTATTAGTGTGATCAAGTTTATACTATGCACGGGCATCCTCCTAGGCAACAAGTTTGATAACAATTGCAAAGAGCATGACAGCAAGACAATCCGTATAAGCAATAGTATAACTACACTTGCAAATTCAATCTACATTTACTTATCTGGCACCAACTTCCTCAGGCTTTGGCCGTGCGTAGACTAGTCAGTTTCTGGTTGCGTGACTAGATCAGGGCTTGACATTTTCTCAAGCTTCAGCCATGCATTGGCTGACCAGCCTCTGGTGTGGTTGGAGCAGGGTAGTCATCTTTTCCTGCTGCGCCTTGATTTCTCTGCAAGTTCGAGTTGGATGATCTGGATCTTGCTGACTCGTCCACTGGTCTTGGACTGAGGCTGCAGGTTTCAGTAGGCTGTGATAGATCCAAGGTGTAATACTTGTAACTTTAACAGTGGTAGGGGTAGACATGATCACAATATGGGGACCATCCCATAAGCGCCCGATGGTGGTAGGATTCCAGTGTTTAACCCATACAGAGTCCCTGGGTGGAAAGGGATGTATTGCATCTGTAAGGCTAACAGGTATTCTTTCTCTTACCCATGCTTGTACTTCTTGCATTATCTCACCTAATGCTTGCATTTGTCTTCTTAGGATCAGTTCTCCAATTTCCTTTAAATCTCCTTTTACCTGAGATATAAGTGGGGGTGGTTGGCCATACACTAACTCATAGGGTGAAAACCTGGTTAATTTAGTAGGGGTATATGTGACTCGGAGAAGGACCATGGGCAATACGTGATCCCACCTTAAATGTATCTCTTGGCAAAACTTCTTCAACAGTTGTTTCAGTGTCCGGTTCATCCTTTTAACTGTTTTAGAACTTTGGGCGATAGGCTGTATGCAGTTTCCATTTAATCTTTAACGTCTGAGTTAGTTGCTGTACTACTTCTGTCACAAAAGCTGGTCCATTGTCTGAGCCTAAAGTTAGAGGCAGTCCAAATCTAGGAATAATGTCTTTTAATAATATCCTGGTTACTTCTCGTGCCTTTTCTGTCCTGGTGGGGAATGCCTCAACGCATCCTGAAAAGGTACAGACAAACACTAATATGTACTGATAACCTCCAGCCCAAGGCAGTTCAGTAAAGTCTACAAGTAGGTTTTCACATGGCACTGCTCCTGTTTCCTGAATTCCTGGGGGCTGAGTAGGCCCTTGCCTTGGGTTATTCTGGGCGCAAGTAACACACTGCTTGCAGACGGCTCGAGTGATGGCAGTTAGGCGTGGCACATAGAAATACTGCCCTACAAGAATTTCTAAAGCTGTTTTCCCCATGTGTGTTCCTTGGTAAAACTGCTTTATAAATCGGGAGCAATGGCTTCTGGAATGGAAGCCTCCTGTCTGAAAACTTCCACCAACCTCCTTTTTAATAACTCCCATTTTCCTGCTCAAACCATGCCTTCTCGGAGTAGCTAGGAGTCTCTGCAAGGGGAGGCTGTAGTAAGGGCATAGTATAAGTCTCTTCTTTCTTTGTTATTTCTGTCATTGCAGCCGTTTTTTGCTTCCTTGTCTGCTTTTCTGTTTCCTATAGCCTTATCACCTCCTCCTGTTCGATGTCCTTTACAGTGGATGACTGCTACTTCCTTTGGAGCCCATACAGCCTTGAGGAGCTGCTCTATTTCTTTTTTGTTTTTTATTTTCTTTCCTTCAGTAGTTAACAGTCCTCTTTCTTTGTAAATGGCTCCATGAGCATGCAAGGTGGCAAAAGCAAATCTTGAGTCAGTATAGATGTTCACTGACTTTCCCTTCACTAGAAATGGTGCTCTTGTGAGAGCTATTAGTTCTGCCTTCTGTGCTGAGGTTCCGACCAGTAGAGGGCAGGCTTTGGTCACTGAGCTTAATCTGACGACAGCATATCTGGCCTTTCTGATACCTTCAGATATGAAGCTGCTTCCATCAGTAAAATATTCAATGTCAGGGTCCTTTAGAGGCTGGTCTTTCAAGTCTTTTTGGCTTGAAAAGACCTCATCCACTGTTTCTATACAGCAGTGATACCCTGGGGCATATAACGGGGGCTTCCCATGCTCCGCATATTCTATTGGTAACAGTATGGCCAGATTTAGGGTCTTCACAGTCTCTAAGGTGATGTATGGATTCTCACATAGGAGGCCTTGGTATCTTAGCATCCAAGGGTTAGAGAGCCAACAGTGTCCTCTCTGTTCCATCAGGGTGACAACTGTGTGGGGTACCCAAATTATCAGCTTCTGTCCAAATGTGAGTTTGTTAGCGTCCTCAGCTAACAAGGCAGTGGTGGCCAGCACCTTGAAACAGGGTGGCCATCCTATAGCCACCAAGTCTACTTGCTCAGACAAATATGCTACAGGCTGATACCACAACCCTAGCATTTGCACTAAGACCCCTGTAGCCATTCCTTTTCTTTCATGAACATACAGGTAAAAGGGCTTTGCCATGTCTGGCAGCCCTAGTGCTGGTGCCTGGATTAAGGCTTTCTTAATTTTCTTGAAAGCCATATCTTGTTTCTTTTTTCAAAGGAGGGGCTCCTTTCTCCCACCTTTCGTTGCCTCATTAAAAGGTTTTGCTAAGAGCGAGTAGTTGGGGATCCACATGTGGCAGAAACCAGCTGCCCCTAGGAATTCCTGCACTAGTCACTTTTTTTTTTGTCTGGCTGAGGAATGCTATAGTCTCTTTTTGCTCTTGCCCAAGCTCACACCACCCTTGGGAGATGTAAAATCCAAGATACTGGACTCCATGGCCACAGATCTGTGCCTTTTCCTTAGATACTTTATAGCCAGCTTTCCACAGCACTTGAAGGAGACTCTCTGTCCTTGGATACATTCCTTTCTGGTGGGTGCAGCTAGCAACAAATCATCTATGTGCAGCAAGACACATCGGTCCTAGGTGGCGTGAAAGCCTTTAAGTCTGAGGCAGGTGCTTCTTCAAAGATAGTTGGGGAGTTTTTAAATCCTTGGGGAAGTCTAGTCCAGGTATACTGAGATGGGCCCCACTCTAAGGCAAAGATATCTTGGCTTACAGGGGCCAAATGAATGCAGAAAAATGCATCTTTTATGTCTAAGCAAGTGTACCAAGCAACACTAGCAGGTATTTGTCCAAGCATAGTGTACGGGTTAGGCACAATAGCATGCAGTATAGCTGCCACCTTGTTGACTGCCCTTAAGTCTTGTACAGGTGGATAGTCACCAGAAGGTTTTAACACCGGCAATAGGGGAGTATTCCATGAGGAAACACATCTTTCTATTATTCCAAACTCAAGGAACCTTTTTAAGTGTTTTTCAGTTCCTCAATTGGCCTCCATGGGAATGGGATATTGGCGGATCCACACTGGGTAGGTTCCTTGTAGTCGCTCTACTATGACAACTGCTTGATTCACTGCCAGCCCCGGGGGATTGTCTTCTGCCTGGACTCCTGGTAACTTAAGAAGTAAGTCTGTGAATAGTTTTTCTCCTTCAGTCACACTCTATCTTTTTCCACACTCCTGGCAACTACTTTCATAAAGTCTCCATTCCTCTGTTTTCAGGAACGTGAGTGTTAATACCATAGCCTTTCTTTGCCTTAGGCTTAAAGTCATGTCTCCACTCGGTGTAAAGGAGATCTGAGCCTACAGCTTTTGTAATAAGTCTTTTCCCAATAGTGGCACTGGGCAGTTTGGTAAGTATAAAAACACGTGTTGAACCTCTTGGTCTCCAATCATACATCTCTTCGATTTGAAAAAAGATGTATTTTCTGTGACCTGTGGCCCCGATAATATTAGCGTAGTCTTTTGATAACAGCCCAATTGTTTGAGTCACAACCAAGTGTTCAGCACCTGTGGCTACCATAAAGTCTATTTTTCGGCCCCTTACCACCATTGAGACCATAGGCTCCTTGAGGCCTAGTGAGATGGAGTCTGGTCTGTCTCAGTCTTCAAGGTAGCCATTGGCTCCTGCCAGCCCAGTTAGATCCATGTTGGATCCTACTACACCTTGCCTGGCAGTGGAAGGAGGCCCTGTCCAGTCATTCTGTCCCTGGTTGTTGTCCTTGTCCTTTTCTTTCTCTGGACATTCATCTTTCCAAAGCCCTCTTTGCTTGTATCTTGCACATTGATCTCTCAATCGGCCTAGTCTAGGCCGATCTTCCTGACCTGTCCTGGTCTCCTGACCTGGGCTAGCTTGTCCTCTTCTGTGACTGCGTCCACGACCACGTCCACATCCTCTTGCAAATCCAGTCTCTCTTTCAACCAGGGCTGTGGCCAAGAACTCTGCCTTTTCCTTCACTCTACGCTTGGCCTCCCGCTTTGCTTCCTCATCTTGATTTACAAACATTTTGATTGCCACCTGGATAAGCTGGGAAATGTTCATACCTTGAAACCCCTCCAGCTTCTGCAACTTTCGCTTAATGTCATTTTGTGCCTGACTCACGAATGCCACATTAACCATGTACTGATTCCCTGCCACTTCTGGGTCAAAAGGTGTGTAGAGCCGGTAAGCCTCACAAAGCCTCTCATAGAACTCACTGGTGCTTTCATCTGGTTTCTGATGAACCTCTGAAACCTTTGCAATGTTCATTGCCTTTTTCCCTCCAGTCTTTATTCCTTGTATTAGAGCCTCTCGGTATCTCAGCAAGTTCAGCAGCCCTTGTGCCTGATTTGGGTCTTTTCTATGGTTCCTTGTTTTGTACGAGCCACTGGAGTCTTACAATAATCTTCAAAGCAGGACTGTAGCCATTTCGGACAGGTCTGAATCACACTCAGCCAGGAGTCTAAGTTTGGGAACTGATCAGGGTGCCCAGGCTGTTGTCTGACCCCAGTGACAACCTGAAACCCTCGGCCAATTATTTCCTTATCTATGGTTCCCTTGACGGGCTACCTTACATTAAAGGAGGGCCAGTCAATTTCACAAAGGGTTCTTAGCCTCCGTGGTGTTAACTTCATTCCATAATCACCATAAAAACCTTTCTTAAAGTTCTTCAACATATATTCTAATGGAGTTGGCTTTGACACTTTTCCTCCCATTTCCTCCCTCACGGCACACTTTCACTCTCACTTTCACTCTTGGATTCACCAGACCGGGTCCTATTACTGGAGGTTAGGATGCTGCTTAGCCAGGTCACAGTCAACTACTGCTGTGAAGCTATGAAGCTAATCCTCTCAGCCTTACGCAGTGACCTAGTCACTGTGGCTAGTCCCACACTCAGCTCGGAGGACACAGTCTGGACTAAGAGATCTGCACCTCCCCACATCACTCCCTGTGTTGGCCTCTCCCAAGACTATCTCTTTTACACACTTTCACACACCTCCCCTGCCCCAGGACTCCTTATCAGATGAAACGAGCCTCTCTCATGTCCCAGGTAAGCCTAGTTAGGCTCCCACATTCACACACATACACACACCACTCCTAACCTACGACTCCTCATTGGATGAAACGAGCCTCTCTTGTGTCCCAGGTAGGTGCACACAAACCCACACACTCCCAGTTGGGGTGGCAAGCCACTCTTGTCACCCTGCCAGCAAGCCCTACCTTGCTGCACTTGCTGCTCTATCGTCCCATTTTCTCCGTTCTTCCAGTTCATGTTAGTGGGGACATGAGGTTCATCCAAATTGGCAAGCCACTCCTACCACCCCCAGCTCCTCTGTTGGATAAGTGGTTGTTCCCTGGGAGGTGATCAAGCTCCCTTCCGTCCTTATGAGATGGACTTTCCTAGGGCCCAACCTTACTGCAGTTCAGTAGTCTGCCTGCGCGCTGCTCCTGTGACTGTCCTGCAACTCCCGGGTTGGTTCCATTTGCACTGTCAGGGGAAGGCTCCAAGACATGGGAGAGTCGTTGTCCTTCTGGGCTAAGTCTTACCCAGTGGTGCCAAGGGTCCCACAACTCCCATGTCCTGGGGCCCTAGCCCACAAGCAGAGGAGACAGAAACCTGCCGTCTCCAATCCCGGACAGGCCCCCAGAAATGTGGCGGGACAATCAAAGATGGGAGAGACTGAACAGAGTGAGTTCAGGAAAGGTCTTTATTAAAAGGTGATCACCTGGCTCAGTAGGAGTAGCATCCAGGGAAGTTTGAGCCCCGTACAAAGAAAGCAGCCACCTTTTAAGCAGTCAGTGGCCACGAGCTACGTGATGCAGAAAGTGTACTCACAGAAGCAAGAACAAAGGCAGTTAGTTGATCAGTCTTTTACATTTATACTGCATGTTCCACATCCCTGAGAAACACGTTTCTGTATTAACCTTGTAACTTTGCAGTTGTGCTAGGGAGGTGAAGCAGGAACTGGCTGAGCCCCAAGGAATGTGAAACTAGCAAGTACAGATAAGGCTAGCTGAGCACAGAAGGAAAAACAGGCTGTTAGTAGTCTTCTCTAACTTAGACTATGGGGGAGCTACCCTACACTTAGCTTTTGAAGGGAAAAGTAAAAATTTTTGGTTGTCTCTGATTATACTTGTACAATTCATGAATTCCTTCTACAATGTCAGCAAAAGAAAAAAAAATCAGTTAAAACAGTTGTGGGTACCTACATAGCTTGAGGGTTAAAAAATGAAAGCTTCCCCAGAACTAGATCACTTGGCTTCTTCTGGATTGGGGGTGGGGATAATGTAGGCAGCCAATCAGAATGAAAGCAGGTTGGCAAGAAACCAATGGGAAGTAGGCATGGAAATGGATTTTGGTGTGGCATCAGTTGGTAGTACTGTCCCTAGCAAACAGAAACATAACTGTGCATTGTATTTTGGGATTTTGAGAGCCTTCATCTCAATTTCAACTTTGAAGCAGCTTAATCTTTAAGGAACATATCTCTGATCTGGGTAATTTGTAGAAGAACTTAATTTGAGGGTCATTACACATGAGGACAGCAGGAGTTGAAGATGCCAAGGACCTGAAGGGCTATTTGAGGGACAGGTGAAGTGATTTGAAGATGTAGTATTTTGAATCTCTTTCTGGCCCATCCTCTGCTTCACACCAGAATCATTGTGACCTGTAGACCAAACCAGTACAAAACAAAGGACCAAAGATAAGCCTTAAATATTATTGGAGATACTTGAGGAACCTCTAGGATTTTTAGGTTAAGGCTAGCTGCAAGGAAAAATAAAACAGAACAAATCTTTCTCAGGACCACCTCATAGATTCGCATTGGTTACATCCTATACAGAGCACCAACTGAGGTGGGATACTGGGACTGAAATCTAGCCTGGTAGTCACATGCCTTGTTGTCAGGCTTCATTGCTCTGAGGAAGGGGGACTTTTTCTAATTCACTCGAAGGCATCATATGATCAAACCTCAACTTTGGTCTTTTCCTTTATTTTTAGGTTTATTCACCCTTATCCTCACTCCCGACCTTAACTGGTGTGACTCAACTTTGACTTTGTTTCCCATTTGCCATCTTTTATTTGAAGGGTGCTGAGAGAGGAAAGAGATATTAGGGCGGGAGTGGTAAAATGGAATTCGAGAATGATTTATACCCACAGAGAAGGGGGAGCATAACATTTATCCTTGCTCCTTTCCCCTCAAATAGTTCAGCCCATCAAATATTTTTGGACAGCCTATCTCGTGCTACATACTACGTGCACAGCCCTAAGGAAAGTTCGGGCCCTGGCCTTTGAGAAACTCACTGTCCAATGGGGAAAGAAAGCACATTACTATATCATTACAATGGTAAGTGCACCAGTCAATGCACCCCCTCTCTCATATACATGTAACAGTACAGGGAGTCAACACTAACATTGCTGTTAGTGTTCCTATAAAATGTTCTTGGAGCAAAAGGTAGGGCAAGAGGTATTAATGTGTGCCCCGTGACAAGAAGAGGCATGTTCAGATCTGAGTGTGGCACAATCTTAGGTAGAAAGGGTATGGATTAACTGGGTCTTGGTAGGTCTTATGTTCTTTTTGCATGCTATACAGGTCAGTGTGCAGAAGTGAAAGTGTCCATAATAACCAAACCACTCCATCAAGTTAGGTCTGGGGAAAAGCAGCAGCAAAAATGAGTTCTTACTTCTGGGCACAAAACAAAAGTGACAGACCTGATTTACTCTGCGGGCAGCCAGCTGACTACCTTATTGAAGAAGAACATTTCACAACGCTTGTATGTTTCATTGTTGTTTTGGGAGGTAGGTGGTTGTTTTTGAAACTCATCTTACCTCTGCCCTGTGAACCTTCTGTCAATGTGGAAAGCCATCACAACTACATAACATCAAAAGAAGGGGCCCAGTGAACTGACAAGACATGAGTGAATACTGTCAATCTCGCTTCATTTAATTATAAGTAGTGTCTATTCTATATTCCTATATTCAGTAACATTTGCTGAGCATGGTAGTGAGGTAGACATGTAAGAAGAACAACTTAACTTCAAGGAGCCCTCTCATGGGGGAGATTGGCAAACACATAATTACTATGCAATGTGTTAAGTATAACTATAAAGGTGTGGTCAAGATTCTCTGCTCACAAGAAGGAGGAAGAGCTATACACTGCCTGCCTGGCCAGACCTAACCTGACCAAAATATCTGAGGCGAGGGGAGGACAATGGGAGCAAACACACAAATAGAGCCCAGGCATACAATTCATGACTTACATAATTGATGTCATTCATTTTGTCCATTTTATTATGGCTTTTGGTGTGATCTCTCTTCAGGGAAGATAAATAACCCACCCCAACCCCAAGAAGAAAATTAGGAAAGACTTCACAAATAAGGACCTCTTAAACAATGATTAAGAATTCAACAGGTATAGAGAATGATATTCATGCAGATCGAGTTACATATCCAACACACAGATGGTTTAGCCCACAATTCAACACTAGGGATTAGGAAAAAGGAAAAATAGCTGCTTTAAAATCCTTTCTGGAACTAGGAATACTATACAGAAACAAATAAACAAATGTGTATAAACTTCTTCAATTTTACCCATTGTATCAAGGAGTGAAATTACTTTCTTTGGGAATCTTTAATATACTCACTAATGACCTTGGTCCCTTTTGATATCACAAGGTGCTGATGACCATGGACTAGCTCTATATCCTTTGTAGAGACAAATGCTCCAGTAGTAAAGAGCATTGCAGAAATAGTGTAAAAAACATATCTTTATCTGGTCTTACCTATAACAAATATAGATGCTCCTTGATTATCAGGTTGTGTCCTAATAAACCCATCATAAATTTGAAATATTGTAAGTTGAAATGCATTAATACAACTAACCTACTGAACATCATAACTGAGCCTAGCCTACCTTAAAAGCTTTCATAACACTTACATTCGCCTACAGTTAGGGAAAATCATCTAACACAAAGCCTATTTTATAATAAAAGTGTTGACTATCTCATGTAATTTAGTAAATATTGTACTAAACATGAAACACAAGAATAGTATGAGTACTCGAAGTACACTTTCTACCAAATGTGTATCACTTTTGCACCATCCCAAAGTAAGTTGAGGCCTTCTGTATTCAATTAATATTTAATGATGTGGTTTAACTTATAACTGGAAGTCAGGAAATGCAGAATCTGGGATGCCAATGAATCTTACCCCAGGCATAAATTAATTGTATTGTAGTTTATATATTGTCTCTAGAGGCAATGAAATGAATAACTTTAGATAGAGTAGAGGTTTCAATGCAAGAAAATGCAGATAGAGAATAATGAGTGGCTTTTGTTACTAGTGTCATGAAGGCAGTTTTCTCTATAGTTAGAGCTCAGTTAAATGTGTTTCTGGCTTTTGGGAAAATTTTAGAAATATGTCGCTATAGCTTAGGATGAGGAATTATTAATAGAAGGTGTACTATGTAGATGTAAAATTGGGCTTTCCATAATTTCTCACCATCAGATCCATTAGTAAGAAACCCATACGTTATCCTGATGTGTCACTGGGCAGGCAAATTGGAAGCAGGCAAATCTGTGAGAAATGCCTCATCATGTGTCATATCCTTAAGAGACAGCATTTATAACAGATGTCAGTTATTCATCCACAAGAATATGACACTCAGAAGTTTAAAATTAAATAACTAGAGAAAAGAAATATTAATTAAATTGCTTTGAAACTTATCATGTTTAAATAACACATACATGTATTTCTTTAGGGCTTTTGAAGATGTGTTTAAAGAATTCCGAAGTCATTGTTTTGACGATTCTTTCTCTGTCGGGATTCGTGATAGGACAGATGGCCTACAGTTCTGTTGAGGTACTGTATGTACAATAAATTAGAGAATAAATTAAAGGAAAAAATGCCAAAAATAAAGTCCACTCCCATCTCATCCCTGAATGCATGGAATGTTTTTTCTTATGGGAACAGCTACTCAAAAAGTTCTATCTGGTATTTAAAAATTTGAAAAATAAAAAAACCACACAGTAAAGGACACATCAATTAGGGAAACTTCAAAAGAGCAGTAATAAGAGGAAAATGTGCCCAGGTGATGGCTCACGCCTGTTATCCCAGCACTTTGGGAGGCTGAGGTGGGTGGATCACTTAAGGTCAGGAGTTTGAGACCAGCCTGACCACCATGACAAAATCCCATCTCTACTAAAAATACAAAAATTAACTAGGAGGGGTGGCCCATGCCTATAATCCTGGTGACTTAGGAGGCTGAGGCATGGGAATCTCTTGAACCCAGGAGACGGAGGTTGCAGTGAGCTGACATCACACCACTACACTCCAGCCTGGGCAACAGAACAAGACTGTCAAAAAGAAAAGAAAAAAAGAAAACAAGGAAAGAAAGCAAGGAAAGAGCATCCCAGCTAACACAGTGAAACCCTGTCTCTACTAAAAAATGCAAAAAATTAGCCGGGTTTGGTGGTGGGCCTGTAGTCCTAGGTGCTTTGGAGGCTGAGGCAGGAGAACAGTGTGAACCCGGGAGGTGGAGCTTGCAGTAAGCTGAGATCGTGTCACTGCACTCCAGCCTTCATGACAGAGTGAGACTCCGTCTCAAAAAAAAAAAAAAAAACAGCAAGCAAGGATAATGTGTTTGCATTCTTGGGTTCATCATCTGCTTCTGAAGCCTTGCTCTGGCTTCCTTACCCTGCACACATGCACTGGCTTCTTCCCTGCTCTTGCCTTATACAAGGCCTGCTTATAGGTTGAGGTAGGAGAATTGCATGAACCTGGGAGTCTGAGCTTGCAGTGAGCCGAGATCACGCCACTGCACTCCAGCCTGGACGACCGAGCGAGACTCTGTCTCAAAAAAAAAAAAAAAAAAAAAAAAAAGGGGGCGGGGGGACCTGCTTATAAAAGGTAGCAGTTATGTTCATCATTAGGCAAGGTCACTGCCAGATTAAATGTAAAACATGCTTCATATAATATGTACCATAGATACAAGAAAACATTCATTCATTATCAACCTAGTATTAACTTCTGATTTCAACTGCATAGCAATTTGATCGATAACAATTTGCCTCCACTCATTCCTTTATTTTTTTAAAATGGAGATAATGCTTGTACCCATCTAGGATTGTAAACGCTTCTTCCTGATCGTCTCAAATACCACCCAGGCTCTCTTTTAAGTGCTTTGTATTTATTAATTTATTAGTTTATTAACCCTTGAGTTAATTTATTCACTCTAACAGCAACCCATTGAAAACAGATACTCTATTTCCATTTTACAGATGAGCAAACTGAGGGATAGGGAGGTGAAGTAATGAAAGTTAAACTATCGATTGGGCCAAAATAAACTTTTTAGGAGGGAACATTTATAGCACTTCAATCGTTGTTGTTGTATTTTCCATTAATCTGTGTACAACCTTCATGATTTATGTCTTATGTATACAATCTGCTATTTTCTATGAATTATTTTTCTCTACTGACTCACTTAAAGATTTTAAAATCCTAAGCCAATCTGTGAAACAAGTACCTGTTTAAGATTCTTTCCCTCACCTAAAGCGAATTGAAATAAACATCTAACAGTCAAATTAAAAAATGCTTACCTGTGAATCACCAAAAATATTTTCTGATATCACCAACAGTAGGGATACCACTTTTGAAAATACTGATTGCACACCACAAGCAGTGTTTGTGTAGCCCAAAACCACTCAATTCTCTGGTGAATAGAGGTCTACATAGATAACTTATTTGGATGGCTAGATCAAGCAATCTACCACAAGACCCTTAGGACTGCCCTTGTAGATACTCTCTCATTAGCTGTATACTGAAAGATTCTAAAATTTATATTGATTGATATAGCATCAACCTAATTTCTAATACTTGGAAATGGTAGCACACTAATTTCTTGTTTGTCTTTGTTACTTTAGGTGCACCAAATTGTCTACCCTCTTCTAAAAACATCAAGTTTTTCACTTTATTCTTACTTTTCACCTTTAATTATATTTATGGTTGCTTTGGATGTAGACTTTTATATACTCAAGAATATGTTTTGGCAGGTAAGAACACATTTAAAACAAAGTATGATCAATTCTTGCTTATGCATGTTGATAGAGAATATGGCTGCCTGTATAGATGATTAATAATTCACAAAATCTCATATTTTATTTGTTTTGCCCTCTTCATTCTACAGAACTACTAACTAAAAAGAGTTGAAGGGAGAGGAAAGGAATTAGTATTTGCTGAGTGACCATTGTGACTAGGCATTCTCAGTATAAATATCAGAGTAAATATCATTTTCATTTTGCATATGAGCAAACTGAAGCTTAGAGGTCACAGACAAGGATAATAAATGTCAGAATCTGGATTCTAGTTCCACATCTGACTTAATCTCAACTGTTTCTGTAGATTTGCCCATTTTCCCTGCAAAGATTGTTACTTGTGCCTTCTCTCTTCTTTTCTTAATCATACCTCTTGTACTGTTTTATTTCTTTTTTCAGAGAACACTTTATTTTGGTTTTATTCTGTTCTTTCTAACATCTTAAATTAATATTTGATCCATTTTTAGCTTTTTTTGTTTTCTGTGTGCATTTAAGGTTTTAAATTTTCTTTTTAGTGGTATCCCACATGTTTTGGTTTTTAGTGTACTCATCATCATCCAGTTCTACATTTTCTTATACTTTTTGATCCATTAATTATGTAAAAATTGTTTTGAATTTTACAAATATGATGTTTTATTATTATTTCTCTTATCATACCGTGATCAGAGAATGTGTTTTATATGTCAATTCTTTGATTTGTGAAAACTTGCTTTGTAGGCTTGTACATGATTTTTTAAAATGTTGCGCTGTAAAAATGTATATTCTCTATTTAGTGTAGGGGTCTAAATTTGTTCAGTAGATTGGTTTATTAATTATGAAGTTCAATCTTCTATGTTTTTCCCAATACTGTTTTTCAGTTCAATTTAATAAGTTTCCCCTATCACTGTGGATTTATCAATTTCTCCTTGCAATTATGTCAGTTTTTACTTTATACAAATAGAGGTTGTTATTAAGTGTCTACAAGTATTGCTATTTTTCCCAGTTAATTTTTTTTCATATTATTTAGTTTCCCTTTTATCCCAAATAATGCTTTTTGCCTTAAAACAACTTTATTTGGTATTACTATAGTTACATCAGCTTTATTTTGGTATTTGCCTGCTACAATTTTTCCATCCTTTTGTTTTCAAGATTTTGGTATCTTTTTAAGAGTATACAGTTGGATTTTTTCTTTATTTTATACAGGTTGATAATTTGTGCTCCTTTTTAAAAACTAGTTTAGTCCATTAGTATTTATTGTAACTAAAAATAGATTTAGAAGAGAAAAGATTTGAACAGATTTGAGACACCAAGGAAGATATATGAATGGAATAAAAGCACTTGGAAAGATGCTCAACATGATAAGTCATCAGAGAAATACACACTAAAATCACAATGAGATACCACTATGTACCTATTGGAATAGCAACAACAAACCTGTTAATGCCAAGTGCTGGTGAAGATATGAAGACAATGAAACTTGCATACATTGTTGGAGAGAAGGCAAAATGGTACAACCACTTTGGGAAACAGTTTGGGAGTTTCTTATAAAGTTAAATATATACTTGCCACATGACTCACCAATCTCACCCTATGTATTTACCCAAGAGAAATGAAAACTTATGTTTACAAAACCTCTACATGAATCTGTATAGTAGCTTTATTTATAACCTCAAATGTCTGGAAACAACTCAAACGTTCTTCAGCTGGTGAATGGATAAACTGTGGAGCATCTTACAATGAAATATTACTCAGCAATAAAAAAGGAATGGAGTATCGATAGGCACAACAAGGAAGAATTTAAAATGCATTGTGCTAAGAGAAATAAGCCAGCCTCCAAGGGGTACATACAAATTATATAATTACATTCATAGACCTTCTAAAAATGGCAAAACTATAGGTCTAGAGAACATCATTGGTTGCTAGGGAATGGGGTTGGGGAAAAGAATTGACCACAAAGATGTAGCATGAGGAAATTTTTGGGAGTGATGTGTCTGTCTTGTTTCTTAGTTTTGGTGTGATTACATAACTGTATGCATTTATCAAAACCCATATTACTGTACACCCGAAGAGTAGATTTTACTGTTTATAAATTGAAAATAAAGTTTTTAAAAGAAATATATTTGAACTTTTTCTCATATATTATTTTATCCTTTTATTTGCCATGCTTTGTCTCATTCTTCCTTTTCTCAATTAATTGAATTAATTCAGTTTCCTTTATCCCTTTTGTTCCTTCTACTAATTTAAAAGTTTCATGTTCTATTTTTTGGTGGCAGGCATTTCTGGTTGCTTATCCAACATGCAGTCTCCCTCTCTTTCTCACTAACAGAAATTTAAAATTTTTCGTTTGGTATGGCAATAGGTCTAGTGTAAAATGTCATATTTCCAAGCATCCCTAACAACTTTGGTACCCTAAGAAGATAGTTTGGCCAATGAAAAATGTACAAAAGTTTGCTGAATGGGCTTCTAGAAAGCCCTTAATAAGGGGGTTAAATCAGCTGGCATGTGCTTTTTGCTCTTTGCTTTACCTCTCTTTCTGCCTGGAGCCTTCCCAGTGGTCTAGAATGAGTATTCATCTTGAGATTGTGAAGTAGTGAACATGAGAACAGGCACTATGTATGATTGAACATAAAGAGAAAAAAGAGCTTGGGTCCTTAAGAGCACTGGGAGCCAACATACTAACATAAGGCTGTTTATTCCGGATTTAGGGTTACTTGAGGTGCAGTGGCTCACACCTGTAATCCCAGCACTTTGGAGGCCAAGGCAGGCAGATCACGAGGTCAGGTTTAGTAGAAACCCTGCTTCTACTAAAAATACAAAAAATTATCTGGGCGTAGTGGTGTGCACCTGTAATCCCAGCTACTCGGAAGGCTGAGGCAGCAGAATCACTTGAACGTGAGAGACAGAAGTTGCAGTGAGCCGAGATTGCGCCATTGCACTCCAGCCTGGGCAACAGAGCAAGACCCCATCTCAAAAACAAAAACAAAACACAAAACAACCAAAATCTCCATTTATTGACACTATAAGCGCTCTTTTCTGTTAAATGCAGTCAAAATTGCTATATTCCTAAATACAATTCTCTCACTAGTTTCGTACATTTTAAAAATCTTAGATTTTAATAATTATATTTGATTTAACAAGTCTAAAGTTAAATGTCTCTACCTTCCTCCAAATAATGCAGGAACTTCAGAATGCTTTAATTATCCTTTCTCATCTTATATTTTATTACATTATTGACATAATACTACCATCCCTGAAATTAGTCATTATCATTATTATTGCGATCGTAATGTTTTAGGTACCAGTGCTTCTCCACACTCATCTAAATGCTTACCAATTTCAATTTCTTTGCTCACTGCTTCTTCTTGCATCCAACTCCATCTTTCTGGATTCAGCTTCCTTTTTCCTGAAGTTTCGCTCTAGCAGCTTTTTAAAAATTATATTTTTAAAATGACTAATAATTGTACATAGTTATGGAATACATAGTGATTTTTCAATATATATAATGTATAATGATCAGATCAGGGTAATTAGCATATTCATCATCTGAAACATTTATTATTTCTTCATGTAGGGAACATTCAATGTCTTCCTTCTAGCTGTGTGAAACTATATAATATATTGCTGTTAACTATAGTCATCCCACAGTGTTATAGAACACTAGAACTTACTCCTCTCTAGCTGTGATTTTGTGTCCTTTCCATTAAAGGTCTGTGAGTAGTCATCTTTTTAAATTTAGTGGTCTTTGTGGCCAGCATATCCACTGTGTATACATTATCTCCTGCCCATTAGTCACTTAGTAGCCATCTCAGTTATCAGATAGAACATACAGTATCACAGTGCTTGTGTTCATATAACCCTTATTTTACTTTATAATAGCTCCAAAGTGCAAGAGTAGTGATGCTGCCTTGTGGTTATACTTGTTCTATTTTATTATTACTTATTGTTAATCTTTTACTGTGCCTAATTTATAAATTAAACATGATCATAGATATGTATGCATTTAAAAAAACTATAGTATATTTAGGGTTGGGTACTATCCGTGGTTTTAGGCATCCACTGGGATCTTGGAACATATCCTTTGCAGATAAAGGAGGACTATTTTAGTTTCACTGTGATGTTTCTGGGTGTTAGTATCTTTTTATTTATACATATTAAGACTTCTTATGGTTACTAAATCTGAGAATTAATATATTTCATCAATTCTAGCCACATTTCGGCTATTATCTTTTAAATATTTTCTATACTCTGTTATTTTTATTTTTATTTTTTTGAGATGGAGTCTTACTCTGTTGCCCAGGCTGGAGTTCCATGGCACAATCTTGGCTCACTGTGACCTCCACTTTCTGGGTTCAAGTGATTCTCCTGCCTCAGCCTCCTGAGCAGCTGGGATTACAGGCATCCGCCACCGTACTTGTCTAATTTTTGCATTTTTAGTAGAGATGGGGTTTCACCATGTTGGCCATGCTGGTCTTGAACTCCCAGCCTCAGATGATCCGCTCGCCTGGGTCCCCTAGAGTACTGGGATTATAGGAGTGAGCCACTGCACCAGGCTTGTTATTTCATTCTTAAATTCCCATTAGTTGTAGATTTTTCATCATATTCTCCATGATTTTTAATTCTCTGTCTTTTATCTCTCGGAACTCTATTGTATGTAATTTCCTCAAATTTAGTTTCTCATTTACTACTTTATCTTTAACAATATCTAACCTACTGCTAGGCTTAATTGAATCATAAATATTTTTAACCTTTATTCTTTTCCAATATATGCATTTAATGTTATAAGTTTCCCTTTAAGCACTGCTTTAACTGCATCCCTCTAGTTTTGATGCCTTATTTTCTTTATGATTCAGCAAAAATATTTAAAAACTTGGACAAAATGGGAAATTCCTAAAAATATGTAATTTGCCAAAACTTATACTGGAATTTCTTTTTATTTATTTATGTATCTATTTTTTTTTTTTGAGACAGAGTCTAGCTCTGTCACCCATGATGGAGCACAGTGGCATGATTACCCCTCACTGCAACCTCAACCTCCTGGGCTCAAGTGATCCTCCCGTCTCAGCTTCTGGAATAGCTGGGACTACAGGCACATGCCACCATGCCTGGCTAATTTTTTCTTATTTTTAGTAAAGGCAAGGTCTCGCTCTGTTGTCCAGGCTCTTTCTAGACTTCTGGCCTCAAGCAATCCTCCTGCCTCAACCTACCAAAGTGTTAGGATTACAGGCATGAGCCACCGTGGCTGGTCTATTCTAGAATTTAAAAAGACCCAAATAGTCCCATAATCATTAAAAATTGAATTGGCAAATAAAAATGGTTCAAAAAAAATGATACCCAAACTATTTTAAATGTAAGTTATGTGAACCAGTATGAAAGATAACACTAATCTTATGTCTTAAAGACAAGAGTAAAAGGGGAAATCCTCCCACACTTACTTTGTTTTATTTTTAGAGACAGAGTCTTGCTCTGTTGCCCAGGTTGGAGTGCGGTGGTAATATCATGGTTCATTGCAACTTCAAACTCCTGTGCTTAAGCAATCCTCCCACCTCAGTTTCCTGAGTAGCTGGTACTACAGTTATGCACCACCATGCTCAGCTAATTTTTAATCCTTTTTTTTAGAGGTGGGGGTCCCACTATGTTTCCCAGGCTGGTCTTTAACTACTCAACTCAAGAGATCCTCTTACCTTGCCTCCTAAAGTGCTGGGATTATGGGCATGAGCCACTGCACCTGGCCTCCTCCCTTACTTATTTTATAAGGCTTGTTTAACCTTAACACCAAAACTATACAGAAATATTAAGAGAAAGAAAAATCATAAGTCAATGTCACCCACAAACATAGAACAATTCTACACAAAATTTTGGCACAAATATATCCAGTAACATACAAATAATAAAAACATGATCAAGTTGTATTTATTCCAGACCAAGTTAATTTAACATTTAAAAAATTCCTTAATGTAATTCATGCTCTTAAGAGATTTAAGAAGAAAAACCATATGACATTACAATAGATAAAGAAATAAAAGGACCTAAAGGGCAAATTGTGGAAACCTCACAGAAAGTAAAACAAAAGACAGAGATGGAAAATAAGAAAAGGATTGAATAACACAACTATTTTTTTCCTGAGGATAATTTTGAAAAATGAATACTTTCTTATACTTGGGCATAAACAATGTGTGCATAGAAATTACAAAACTCTGTAAATCACTTAATCTCAAGCATTTCATGGCCTCCCCTTTCTCTATTGCAGAACTACTTGTTTTACAATTAATAAAAGGTAAAGGGGGGGATTTTCTGTGAATATTTTAGAGTCTTGGTATATAAATTTGTGTCATGTACTAGATACAATATGTCAGTAACAATTTACTTTCCAAACTAATCAGGATATGTTTTATATAGAAGCAGGAGAAATTTGCATTCTGTTTTAAGAACCTTTCAATATTGAGAACTATTGAACTAGAATAACAACAAGAAAGATAGTTGAGTAAGTCTTTTTAATAATAAGGTAGAATCTTGCTTATTTGAAAGGGGCGGTTTCTTTGTGGCAGGTGGTTAAACTAGAATACTTTTTAAAGTTATCTTCCAGGGTAATTGTATAACATGTACAACCAAGATCTGTCTCTTAGGATATAAGTAAATGCCATCATGCCATCTTTAGATGTTAAGTCTAATACTGTGTTATGAATTGGTTCACAGGTCTTGTTAACTGGATTAATTAGCTTTTCTACAGCAAGCATCATACTTGGATATGTGGTTATAAAATTCAATAAAGCTTCATGGGATTTGCAATCTTGCCTACTCTTTAGCATCACCCTTGGCATTACAGATCCTCTTCGTTCTGTGAATTCACTAAAAACTATTGGTATGTCACATTTATTTCTCTCTCTTATCTTGAAAATATAAGGGTACATTATTTTCTTTTGATTACATTTTTCTTGCATGAATTGTGCACCCAGAAGAATAAGAATCTGTGCTTTTTTTTTTTTTTTCACCTTGAGAGGTAGAGCACTGACTGACTTGAAGGAGACAGTGCAAATAAGACAACCACCAAGGAGATAAGATAAATAGCGCCAATTATAATCTCCAAGGAACTTTTTCAGTTTTTTTCAAAGAAAATGTAACCTTCTAGAAGGTGATAAAAATTGGCATTCTTATTCTGTTCCAGTGAATTCTCAGCCACAAGGTAGATATTCTAAGTTGGTGAGTTTGTTTACCAATAAGAAGAAACATTAAAGATCCCTAATGAGACTATTTCAAGGCCTTGCTACCTCTTGTTAGAACTGCCTCCATTTGGAGTAGCTAAGGTTTGGCAGGTGGTGGAGGGGGTTATAGTTTATCTTCAAGAAAAGCGGTAAAGATATAGTCTGGCACTCAAATATATTACTCAATAAAAGCTTATTCCCAAGAGGACTTGGAGTCCTGCACTATTTCCCATATTATTTGGTAAGGTGGAAGATGATTTCACTCTGAAATATCCCCCTATTGTCAGGTTTTTTTTTTCTTTGTTTCTTCTATAAACAACAACAACAACAACAAAAATGGGATACATGTGCAGAATGTGCAGATTTGTTACATAGGTATATGTGTGCCATGGTGGTTTGCTGCACCTATTGACCTGTACTCTAAGCTCACTCCCCTCACCTCCACCCCGCAACAGGCCCCGGGGTGTGTTGTTCCCCTCCCTGTGTCCATATATTCTCATTGTTCAACTCCCGCTTATGAGTGAGAACATGTGGTGTGTGGTTTTCTGTTCCTGTGTAAGTTAGCTGAGGATGATGGCTTCCAGCTTCAGTCATGTCCCTGCAAAGGACATGATCTCATTCCTTTTTATGCCTACATAGTATTCCATGGTGTATATGTACAACATTTTCTTTATCCAGTCTATCATGGATGGGCATTTGGGTTGGTTCCATGTTTTTGCTATTGTAAATAGTGCTATAATAAACATGCATGTGTATGTGTCTTTATGGTAGAATGATTTATATTCCTTTGGGTATATACCCAGTAATGGGATTGCTGGGTCAAAAAGTCAGGTTTTATTAACACAGAAGTACCAACATGAATGGCTATATGCTATGGTTTCTGTTTTTTGACTCAGAAATATTTTCCTAACAAATTTAAAAATATCAGTTGTATTTAGTGGAAATATACTACCTTATGATTGGAGTGAGAAACCTCCAACCTTTCCAGCATGTGATATTCTTATTTTCATACTCCTAGCTGGGAAAACATAGGGTTTTAGGCACTTTTGGAGGTTCTGTTCTAAATTGTTACAAGGTAGATATGTTTCTCAAAGACTCTGATCCTGTTCTCTTTTTTCCCTTTGCTCCTGTAAGTACAGTTTCTTTCTGTCTTTCCTTACCTGTCTTATTCTTTCAACCATTTGTATTTACCTCGTGTTTCATTACCTCATTTTTCTTCCTGCTGTCCTTTCTGCACTCTCTTGACTGTAAATGGTTATAATAAACTATAATAAACTATAAATGTTATTTATTGCAACATTCAATTTTTTTTCAAAAAAAGGAGTACAGTAGAAAGTCTTCTTTTCTTTTCTTTTTTTTTTTTGAGATGGAGTTTAGCTCTATACCCCAGGCTGAAGTGCAATGGCGCGATCTTGGCTCATGGCAACCTCCGCCACCTGGGTTTAAGTGATTCTCCTGCCTCAGCCCCCTGAGTAGTTGGGATTACAGCCATGTGCCACTACTCCTGGCTAATTTTTGTATTTTTTAGTAGAGATGGGGTTTTGCCATGTTGGCTAGGCTGATCTCGAACTCCTGACCTCAGATGATCCACCCACCTCGGCCTCCCAAAGTGCTGGGATTACAGGCATGAGCCACTGCACCCGGCTGAAAGTCTTCTATTTCTTTAAGACAAAACTAGTGAAGGTATTGGATTGGCTCTTAATTTATATATTTTTTTATGTCAGCAACACTCAGGAGGTTAGATGGATTCTGGATCCAGTAGCATTGTCTCCTGATAAGACAAATTTGACTTAATTTTATGGGGAAAGTCACTCTCACTTGTTTTGGGTGTTGGCTGGACCATCATATTGTCTCTGTGTGTGAATTAGATAAATGGTTCTTCCTTCAAAACAGTTTTCTTCTATTTAATAGTCATAATACATTAATTTTTTAAAGGAAAAACTATTTTTTGCCAAATGCCTAAAATTATCATAATATACAGAACTACAATTTCTATAATGTTACTGGTGTTTCTTTTGATGAGGTGCCTGTCTGCACTGTAAACCTGTGCAACCTAAATCTAAGGTGGACTGGCCCAGTCAAAAATGTAGTAGACGTTCATATGTAAGTTAAAAGGAAATTATCTATCCATTACCTGTTTTAAAAGAGTGTAAGGGCTTAACTCTTATTTTAAAGCAAATCTGGAAGAGGATCTTGTAAAGAAATAAAATACAGAGTGTTAGTATGATCTCAGTTGAGTAAAAAGAACCATCTGCTTAGAAAAGGAATTTAACTTTAAAATGGTTATATCTGGGTCATCATAGAATTATAGAAGATTTGTTTTATTCTTTTCTTTTCCAAATTTTACAATGAATCAATATAAATTAGGTCCACATTAAGCCAAAAGAGAAGGTGGAGAGTAATTCTTGTTGTGTCTTACTATTAAAAATATAAATCAAATCCAAAACTTTATACACCAAGCCTTATACCTTACTTGTTCTGATTAGTTCACCAAATGTGAGAGAAGAATTAAAGGATTTCTTCACCAGATAAATCAAATGTGCTAGTAGTCTCTCAACCTGTTTAACCAGTATTTTTATGCCTTCTGTCATAGTCAAAGGTAGTAACAAGTAGTAAAATGAGATGATTGTGACTGTTAATGACAACAGATTAGACACTGCAGAAGAAAAGATGAGAGAACTTGAAGATGTAGCAATAGAAACTATCTAAAATGAAACACAGAGAGAAAAAGACCAGAAAACATGAAGTGAGCATCATTGTGCTGTGGACAACTTCAAATGACCCAATGTATGAGTCCCTAAAAGAAAAGAGAGGGAGGAACAAAAAATTTGAAGAAATCCTGGAGAAAAAGTTTCTAAATTTGATAATAATGAAAGCTACAGATTCAACAAGCTCAATAAATTGCAAGCCCAAGAATTATAAAGACTACACAAAAAGCACATAAAAAGCAAATTCCTTAAAACCAATGATAAAGAGAAAATTTTAAAAACAGCCAGAGACAAAAGACACATTGTATTTAGAGGAACAAAAATAATGACAACAGACTTAGAATTCTACACTCAGTGAAAATATCTTTTGAAAGAGAAGGCAAAATGAAGACTTTCTTAAACATACAAAAGCTGAGAGAATTTATCATCAGCAGGCCTGCACTGCAAAATTGTTAAATGTCTTCTAGGCCAAAAGAAAATGATGTTAGATGGAAATTTGGCTGTGGAATTTTATTTACTCAAGCCTCTGGAAATCACACCCAATCTATTTTGGTCTCTATGTCTACCACGGACATTTCATATAAATCAAATCATAAAATATGTGACTTTTGTGTCTGGCTTTCACGTAGTATAATGTTTTCAAGGTTCAGGTTGTAATATGTATCAGTAAGTACTTCATTTCTTTTTGTGGAGGAATAATATTCCATTGTAGGGATATATCACATATATTTATCCATTTATCGGCTGACAGACATTGAGTTGTTCCCACTTTTTGGCTCTTATGAATAATACTATTATGAATATTTATGTACAAATCTTTGTGTGCACATACATTTTCAATTACCTTGGGTATATACCTAGGAGTAGAATTGTTGTGTCCTATTTTGTACTTATTTCTAAAATGAGGTTATTTTGGAATCTGATTCAGGTTTATTCAAACTAAATGTGGTATCTTGAGAAGTATTTGTCTCATTCTGAAACTCAAGTACGGTTGAGACACTGAGCAATACAAGCAGTGCTATCGCCATGTTTCTTTGCCATTGCAAATACAGGAGGCGCAATATAGAAATATAAAAATGGTGATTGTGATTGTCTCGCAGATCTATCCCAGTCATAGTTGCCTTGTTCTTTCTTTTTCTTTCTTTTTCTATTCTTTCTCTTCTGTTTCTGCTTCCTGTGCAAGAACATGATTTTCATGTAGCATATTGAGTTATATTTTGTATTTCCTTTTTCAGGCATTTCTAAAATATACATTGATCTCATTAGAGGAGAATCATTGATCATTTGTAGCATCACATCAGTTTTTCTTGGAAATTTTCGGGGCAGTGGAATCCACTTTTCTATTTTTAGAGGTAGGAGCATTTTTTGGGTCTGTATATTTTCTAAAATCATTCTCATTAAAATTAAAATACATTCAAGATGTTTCAACTTTGCTGCCTTTTCTATACTTTACTTTTGTGCTGATTACAATGATACATGAAGTAACAAGAAAAAATCATAGTTGGCCATCTGCATCCGTGGATGCAACCAACTGCAGATCAAAAATATTCATAAAAACTCAAAAAAAATAATGCAACCATAAAATGCAAATTAAAATACAATACAGTATAATAACTATTTACATAGAGTATTTACATTGTATTAGGTATTACAAGTAACCTAGAAATGATTTAAAGTACACAGAAGTATGTGCTGTAGGTTATATGCAAATAATGTGCTATTTTATATCCAGGGTTTTGAGAATCTGCAGATTTTGGTATCCAAAGGGGTTCTTGGAACCAATACCCCATGGATACCAGAAGGAGTACTGCATGTGTGTTCTTGCACATTAAGGGGGAAAGAACATTCAAAAAGTGTTTTAGTTTTTCTCCATATGCATAAATGCATGTGTGCACACATATAGTGTCACAATAGAGACAATATAGTGTCAGCTCGCTCAGACTTACTTCTTTCCTGGATCAATCTGGATCTCAGTGAGTAAGTGCGAAGAATTGGCTTGGTTCTGGATTTGGGTCTGAGAGTGAAAGCAGAACATTCTATGCAGGACTGGAGAATCCAATCCTGGAAATGACAAGAGCCAGATTCCTGCAGCTAAAGCCCACTGGGATATGAAGCTGTTGCCTTGCTAGGTTTCCAGATGTGTTACTAGTAGAAATGAAAAGGGGGGAAAAGAATCACAGTGTGAAGGGGGAAAATGTGTTTTTCTGATATACTTTTGTGATAGTCACAAGAGGAGGAAGATACTAAAAGGAGAAATAAATATTAATGAATAAAGAGGGGTGTGCAGTGCTTCGCAGTGAGGGAGCTACCAGGCATTGGGGTGGAACAATTTTTGTCATTTAGGACTTTGTAATTTAGGACTCCCCTTATAGCTACCCACTAACTGCCACTAGTGTCCCCAGTTATTGTGACTAATGAAAATGTCTCATCTTCATTTTCCAGTGTCTCCTGGGCTGGGGGTAGGGGTCATAAACTAACTGCAGGTTAGCAGTGACCTTGGGCCTAGTTAGCTTGGTCTTGACTAGTTCATCAAAAAATTTTTAATTTAGATTTTTTTTTTTTGTTTAGACATTCACTCTAAACCCATTTGTCACAAGTTTTTCACATTTATTCTCCTTGCCTTTCTCCTGAGGACATTTGAATCTTCTATCCCTAGAGAAGCAAACCTTAAGCTGCAGACTGTAAAGGAAGGTTATTCTGAGAGAGGCTTTTACCAGACTTTCATGAGACATACTCCTATTTGCTGAAAAATAAGGTCCCCACTCAAAATCTCACACGTAAAACAAAGTGCAAAGACCCAAATGCCATCAATGAAAGAAACGAAAGTTATAGCTCAAGTTTTTATTTCTTATTTTTTCTTTCTTTTTTTTTAGATTTACATGTAGGCATTGGACTCATCTTGGACATTTTGGGAAGCATAATATTTGGATATTGGTGTGCAAAAATCATTCGGTGTATATTGGCTGATGTTTTTAGCAATATGCTGACTAATATAATTCTCTGCTTTTCAATGGTGTACATGACTTTCTATATTGGTAAGGCAGAAGTAAATACAAAAGTTACTGTCCTTAAAGTAAGCTTTATACATGTTTATTTTTTCCTGATCTTGAATCCAGTTGCTTCTCCTCCTTTTTGTGGTCCCACTGTGTGTCTTCTCATATTATCTAACTCACTTCTAGCTCTTTCCTGGTCTTTCTCAATATCCTTTTTACTTCAACTCCATGTCCAATTTCCTTGCACTGTTCTCTGTGATTACTCTCTTATTCTTTTTGAACTCTTCCTTTAACTTTGTACATAGTCACTGGTATTCCCCAGGCAGAGGAATCAACACTGAGCTCTCTACTATGATCCTGAGAACAAACCATCTGCAAACTGAGAAGGCTGGGAGAGATGCTCCTGAGGCTTTTCTAGATCAACAGCCTTTAATTCAATGGATGCCAAATTGAGGAGACTATAGAAATGGCAGCCTTCACTTAGGCTAGGAGTCGGGAAAGGAGAGGTATAGTTATTGTTGAAAGAGAAGCAGGAGAGTGAAATAATCACAGGAGTAAGAGTGCCCAGCACTGACTGACTTTCAGCTAGTTTAGTCCAATGAAATGGAGATTTAAGTGTTTACTGGCCTGACTGAGGCGCCCGGTCCCTAAGAGACATAACTGTGGTCAAACTGTCAAATTCCACTTTTGCTGTCATCTCACACAGTGAAGCAACTTCAGTTCTTGAAAGACCTCAGGTATCAAGAGGTTAATTACTTCTCTTTCACCTCCAGTTACCTAAAAGCGCTGCTTCTTCTACAGATTAATTGCCACTTGAGGGTTACTCACTCCCCTGAATCAGAAAAAGTATAGAAAGCATTCGCTGAAGGCTCATTTCCTTCAAATTTCTTCATTTTTCCCCTCTCCTGTGCTGTTTTTTATAGATGCCTTAAATGTTTGAAGAAAAAAATTTAATTTAGTCTATCTTTCTACTAGACTGTGAGTTCCTCGAAGTAGAGGCTCTTAGTCATCTTTTTATTTATTCTCTTTTCTGTGTTTGGAGCTTGCCATATGCCTGATAGTAATTCAACACACGTTGGTTGAATAAACTGCTACTAGTCCTAGAAGAGCTTTGGAGTTAGGCAGACTTGAGTTCAAATCTCAGCTCTGCAATTTATTAGCTTGGTGACCCTGGAAAATTACTTAACCTCTCTACGGTTCACTTTCCTTAGCTTTAAAAGTGGTATGATAGGCTGGGCTCAGTGGCTCACACCTGTAATCCCAGCACTTTTGGAGGCTGAGGCAGGTGGATCACTTGAGGCCAGGAGTTTGAGACCAGCCTGGCCAATATAGTGAAACCCTGTCTCCACTAAAAGTACAAGCAATTAGCCAGGTGTGGTGGCACACGCCTGTAATTCCAGCCACTGGGGAGGCTAAGGCACAAGAAACCCTTGTGCCTGGGAGGCAGAGGTTGCAGTGAGCCAAGATCATGCCATTGGACTTCAGCCTGGGCAACAGAGTGAGACTCTGTCTCAAAAAAAAAAAAAAAAAAAAAAAAAAACAGTGTTATATCACCTAATGTATTAAGGGTATTGCAGGCATTAATGAGGTAATCTGTCATATGACTCCTGCTGGTATGCTGATAGCTCTTGCTGGCTTGCCAGAGCTGATTATGCTCTTTTTTTTCAAATTCTGTTCAAGTGACATTATGTTGAGAGCTCGAAATTGGCCACAGTGAAAGTCTTTACACCACAGAAATTGGAAGACACTGCTTCACTGCAACTCAGAGTTCCTTCTACTGCCCCAACCTTGAACTGGGTTTTAAAAAGTTTTTTTCCCTTACTGCCTGTATGATTGCAGAAAAGAGCTGACTTTAATCATTTACCAGCACATCACTGGGTTCAAGGTAGGGCAGTCAATAAATATGAGTTCCTATTCCCTTTTCCTTCTAAAAAATGGAGGTGCTTCCAGTCAATGTGTGGCATCATCCTAACCAGATGTATATGAATTGAGGGCACTCAGGTAGAATGGGGTTCCCTAGAGTCTTTTAGCATTATTGCCACATTAGAAGATTCCCATTTCTGACATACAACTTTTCAAGTTGGAATAGGGTTATTTGGTTAAGCAGTATGAATTCCTTATGCTCATTCAGGTATCCAGCCAAAAAGCTGATCAATTCAGCTCAACCCAATTCAATTCAAATCAAATGTTTACCAAAAATATATTTAAGCATTATGAAGTCTGATTATTTTGTGCTAACTAAACGGCGTAATAAGACTTTGAAACTGATTTATATGAAGGCGTATAAGTCGCGTAGCTGTGGAGTAAAAGATCCTTAAACAATTGAGACACTTGTGGTTTAGATTTTAGGAGGTGGAGATCATGGAGAACTGAGCCAGGACCTTGGTTCTAGTTTAAGCTTTACCCTCAGTTCCTTCACCTGTAAAATGGGGAGACTGAGTTAGGCAGTGATGGGGTGGTAAATTGGCTCTCTGGGAAGAGAAAAAGCCCCGATTTGTAGTGCTTGTCAATTTTCATGGGATAAATACATCTACCGTGGCTGATTTCAAGGATAGCTTTGGGTAGCAACCTGCTCACAAAGTTACTAAAATATTAACAATTAACTTTCCTGAGCAGGTACCAGGTCTCTAAGAATCAGACTTAAAGAGAATGATGATTTTCTTTAGAAATTGTGCCTTTGAGATTGTAGCAGTCACCAGCAGAGGGGAAGTATCTGTCTTTTGGTTGCATTTGATCAGGTAAGACTTACTACAGAGTGTAGATGAATGATAGAAGGTAGGAATTTAGCATTAACCATTCAGGCTTAAATACATCCCAGAGTCAGCACTGTGTATGCTATATATACTGATTTCAGCCAATAATTCTTTGTAGCTTCAAGGCAGCACTGTACCACTGCTCAGAATGAAAGCTTGCTAGGTAGCCTCCTGTTTTAGGTTGAATTGTGTCCCCCCAAAAGACGCTGAAGTCCTACATTCCAATACCTGTAAAGGTGACTTTATTTGGAAATAGGGCCTTTGTAGATGACCAAGTTAAGATGCAGTCATTAGGGTGGGTCCTAATCCAGTATGACTGTATCCTTAAGATTTGGACACAGCGACAGACACACAAAGAGGGAAGATTATGTGAAGACACAGAGAGAATACCAGCTATAAGCCAAGGAATGCCTGAAACTACCAGAAGCTAGGAGAGAGGCCTGGGGCAGAATCTCCATCACAGCCCTCAGAGGAACCAACCCTGCTGGTCTTGGACTTCTAGCTCTGGAACTGTGAGACAATACATTTCTGTAGCTGAAGCCGCCCAGTTTGTGCTATGCAATTATGGCGGTCCCAGGAAACCAATACACCTCCCTCCTCTATTACACTTTCCTCTGCTTCAGGAACTAAAAAACAACCTCAGGCAGTCCTTTACTCATACTTAGTAAGTTCCTGAAAGCAAAGTCAGAAAAAGGCAGTGTTACAAGGAGATGTTCCATAGCCAGAAAGCTGAAATGTAGATAAAATTCTCATTTATACATTCTCTAATGTTACATTTCTTTCACGTTGTTTAATTTTGTTCTTTTCCCTGACTAATGAACATACCATCAACTGGCTTAAGTCCAGAGAGCATCTGACTGAGGTTGGAGAGTCACCTCTTTGAGTGTTGATGTATAATTCATGAAAGAACACGGGTTCTATAAACGTGTAGGCTAGAGGCATTCCACGAGGGATTCCTCCATCCTAGCAAGGAGGAATATTTTATCAAGTGACGGTGTTTAGAATTTTGGGGGGAATAGAGATAATAAAAAGTAGAAGGAGTTTTTGTCATCTTTATAATTGTTTTAAAAGTCTACAAACAATGCATCCCCTTGTTGCCTGTAACTGGGGCTTATTACTTCCATTGTCCCTTCTTTATAAAATAGTAATTGTAGAGAATTGGAAATTGAAAGATAGTTTCCCTGTCATCACAGTTTGCAGCACTCCTGGTTTTATTGTCACTGGTTATTTAAAGTAAATTCAGTTAAATAAGTAGATAAAAAGAAGTCTAAAGTGAACTTGTGATTAGATAAACCAAAAGAATAGTAAAATCCTCTTTAAATTAATAAACAATATTTACTAAGCAATAAAGTAGATAAAAACAATTAACAGCATGACAGTATTATCACTTATTCATTGCTTTAAAAGTGTGGTAAGCATTTTCGTGTTTTCTAATTTAATTTTCACAACTATGAGTCATAACTTTTTTACACCTATTTTATAGTTACAGGGCCACTAATGGAGGAAGGTGAGGTCACGTTCCAAAAACAACCAGCTCTGCTTTGCCCCAAAGCTCTTCCAATCCTATTTTTCATGTTCTTTGTCTTCCTTTCTGTCTGACGGTTTTAGTGTTCTATTTGAAGACTCTGCAGCCTAAGACTGCAGAGTATTTATGGTATTCAAATATCCTTCAGGTTGGGTTTCCTGCCTCAGACTATTAATACATTTACACATTTGTTTAGAGCCCAGCAAATTACGAGTTTAATTAGGGAGGTCTATATCTGCAAAAGAAAAGCAGGTGTAAGGAACTGGAGTCATCGGAAGTACTGAGCTTGGCTCACAACTCCCAGCACATGTAGTGCAGTATTTCTGAGATGCTTAAAGGACACCCTCAGGGCTGTTGAACTTACTTTTCCATTAGCCCTATCCTCAGTGATGGTCTCCAGCAGGACCTGGCAAACTGTGACTCTTGGGCCAAATCTGCGTGTTAGCTAAAAATGGTTTTTACATTTTAAAATGGCATAAAAGAATATCTTGTGGCACGTGAAAATTACGTGAAATTCAGACTTCAGTGTCTATAAACCAAATTTCACTGGACACATTCGTTTACATATTATCTATGGCTGCTTTTGTACTACAACAGCTGAGTTGAGCCATTGTAATAGAGGCTGTATGCATCACAAACACTAAATATTTACTATCTGACCCTTTATAGAAAAAGTTTGCCAGTCCTGGGTTTACTGGATTAGGTCAATCCCTCGAAGCAATTTTCTAAGAACTACTACTTCTCTTAAGATTCCCACCAATTCTTTATTCAAGATAAAGTATCTCAGTGTACAGATATGAATACAATGCATTTGATTGATTTGTTTCTTTTTCTCCCCAGTGGAACTTTTAGGAATGTCAGGCACTCTTGCCTTAGTCGCTGTAGGACTGAATTTAGATTCTTTAACCTTTAAACCGAAGATAGAATTCGTGATTACTAAGTAAGTTTCCTATCGTGCCCTTTGATGGATCTCATAGCAGTTTAGTGCATAAGGGGTCTCGCCTTCATGGACACTAGTAAAACTCTTTTTCCATAACCTTTTTTTATCTTGAAAATTTTATTTTTGTTATCAGTTACATTTGAAAATAATTTAAGGTGCCAACAATCAGCATTAATTGATACTCCTGTTATGAATAAAGTGTCAGTGGCTCAGAAACCACGGTGTTTCTGTTGCATGTAACCTGATAAAAATTTACTTTGAACCATGGAGATTTAAAAAGATACATTTTTCCTTTGTTTCCTTCATAATGTGCCTAAATAACAGTATATTAATGTGGGAAGAGCTGGAAAAGAAGAGTAGCAGAAAAATGTTACATCAACAAAACTCTTACCTACCCTTTACTCCTGGTAATAAATGCCATATGGACATCTCTGTATAGAGGGAAAATCATTTGCCTGTCTGTGCAGAGAAATGTCAGCCTTTCCCTGAAAGACTATGATAAATTAGAGAATTGGTTCAGAATTACTGAATACCAAATCATCGTCTAATATAGAAATTCCCACATCAGATGAAAACAAATGTCGAACTGAGAAAAATAAGCCATAATCCTGAGTTTTCCCATGAAAATTAATTTATTTAATGTAAGGACTATGCATTACTGTGAAATTATGTCCATCCTACTTTTTTGTTGTTTATAATGTCCTTTCTTTTATGACATTCCAATGATATAAGATGGTATTTTCTTTTCTACTTGGCAAAATGAAAAAGCATGGGTGGCCGGGCACGGTGGCTCACGCCTGTAATCCCAGCACTTTGAGAGGCCAAGGCAGGCAGATCAAGAGGTCAGGAGATCCAGACCATCCTGGCTAACATGGTGAAACCCCATCTCTACTAAAAATATAGAAAAAATTAGCCGGGCGTGGTGGTGGGCGCCTGTAGTCCCAGCTACTTGGGAGGCTGAGGCGGGAGAATGGCAGGAACCCAGAGGCGGAGCTTGCAGTGAGCCAAGTTCGCGCCACTGCACTCCAGCCTGGGCAACAGAGCTAGACTCCATCTCAGAAAACAAAAACAAACAAACAAACAAACAAACAAAAAACATGGGTACCTAAAACTATTCCAGTTTTGTGTATATGTGAATGAAACATTACAGTGTTTTTAAATCCAGAAGCTTGGGAATAACCAGTTCATAGAACATCTACTTGGTGTAATGCTCAATTTAGACAGTTTCCCGAGCTCAGTGGTGCTATCTGTTGACATCATTATAAATTACTTTTTATTCACTCAATTGTTTATTTTTTCACCCATTCCACCAATCCTTTCTTAATGTCTGCTGTGGTCTGGATATTGCATCTTAGGTGTGGGGCTACAAAAATAAGTCCCTTCTCAGAGGTGCTCATGGTTAAGTGGCAGACATGTTTTTATAAGAAAGTAACAATATGTGTGAATAATTACGTATTTATTCAAGTTCTACTTTATACATAATGCATTTTTTAGGTCCTGTGGAGAGATTTGAAACAAAAATTTTTTGAGACAGGATCTTGCTTTGCCTCCCAGGCTGAGAGGCAATGGCGCTATCAAAGCTTACTACAGCCTCCACCTCCAGGGCTCAAGCATTCCTCCCACCTCAGCCTCTCAAGTAGCTGGGACTACAGGCATCCACCAGGATACCCGGCTAATTTTTTGTATTTTTTGTAGAGGTGGGGTTTCACCATGTTTCCCAGGCTGGTCTCGAACTCCTGGGCTCAAGCAATCTGTCCTCCTTAGCCTCCCAAAGTGTTGGCATGAGCCACTGTACCCACATGACATTTTTTTTAAAGTATTTAACTCAGGCCGGGTGTGGTGGCTTCTGCCTGTAATCCCAGCACTTTGGGAGGCTGAGGCGGGTGGATCATGGGGTCAGGAGATCAAGACCACCCTGGCTAACACAGTGAAACCCTGTCTCTACTAAAAATACAAAAAATTAGCTGGGTGTGGTGGCGGGTGCCTATAGTCCCAGCTACTAGGGAGTCTGAGGCAGGAGAATGGCGTGAACCCGGAAGGTGGAGCTTGCAGTGAGCCGAGATCGTGCCACTGCACTCCAGCCTGGGCAACAGAGCAAGACTCCATCTCAAAAAAAAAAAAAAAAGAAAAAAAAGAAAGTTTTTAACTCAGTCAGTTATTCCGTGACTTCTGAATTTTTTGAAAACTATGCACTGGGGTTTGAGGTCCCCCACTCAAACTCTTCCCTGTAGGGGTTCAGAATCAATTGAATCAAGAGACAGAAATCACTTGGAGAATGAAATTATCTCCTTGATTGGGGTACTGCTGTGTGTATCAAAGAACATGGTTTATGTCTGCAGCTAAAACGAGGCTTCCTTATGCTTCTTTCCGAGCATAAATTTTGAGATCCACCTGTAAGGAGACTGGTTTGTGGGGCAGACACACTTACCCAGTCAGCTGAAAGGGAAAGTCTCAAGAGAGAGAATCTAGAGGAGGCAGGCCTTGAGATCTGCTTGTGGAAGTCATACTTGGCTCTGACCCAGGCATGCTACCACATGGAACCGTATAGAACAGAACATGTATTCTACTGAGGCCTCAGCCCCCTGACCTAACCCATGTGCTTTGGTCTACTCAGTAAGGATCTCTGGGGGTGGTTCTGTTAATTTTTAGAATTCAGTCTGGGTGATTGTAATGCTTTCTTCTGCTTAAAAACTACGTTAGTACAGACAGCACCGTAGGAATTCAGAGCAGGACTACTTCCACCTAGGGGGCTTAAGATGCTTTCATGGACAACCTGAGATTAGAGTTAGCCTTACAAGACTTTTAGGAATGCAGTAGACAGGAAAGCAGACAGGGGAGACTTCCAAAGTAAATAGAAGAGTACGTGTGGGTCACAGAGGGAGAGGTTGTGCAGAAAGCATTGAGATGATCCTGTTAGCATTGCAAAGTTACTGAGGTACCTCCTAGTAGCAACTACAACTCTGGGTTTAGCAGTAGCAGGCCCAACAGTTGACATGCTCCCGCTGAATCCCAGAGAAACTGATAAATCAGCACCTTGTGGGGAGGTCCTCATTGTTCTGCCTTCCTCTTATTATTCTACTGTGAGAAGCAGCCCTTGGGTATTAGTGTGATGAAGGTAATGAAAAATATGGAACTGGGTGTGTTTAGATCCAACAAAATTCTTTTAAGTGTTGACTATAACAGAGATGAAGGCAAGGGCCTCTGCTAAGACATCATGGAAGATATAAGATACATGCTTTTATGTGAAAAGGAAATATATTTTTAAGATGATTGCTGAAAATGTCATTTCTATTTCATTCATCCTAGGTTCTTAAGAATTTTTTCATGTGTATATGAACATTTAATATACACTTTCTTTGGCATTGTGATTGGATGTGGAGAACTCGACCATTATGAACTTTACACTATAACTTTCATAGTCATTTTATTTACAACAGTGAATTTGGTAAGGTAAGAATAATATTTTAAAGTTTGTTTACTGACTTAGATTCTCAAGGCCAGAATTAGAATTACGAAGCAGTGACATACAGCAAAAAGGACTCTGGACATGGAGCCAGGAAACCTGCATTGTTGTCAAGGCCTTGACAATAGCTTGCTGTGCAACTTGGGGTATTTATTTTTCAAGATTTTATCCATAAAATGAGAGGGATTGGCATCACCCAGAAGCTAGATAGAAATGCAAATTCATGGGCCCATCTCAACCTATTGAATTGAATCTCTAAATATGAGATCCAGGAAACAGTTTCAACATGCTCTTCAGGTGGTTTGTATGCATGTTAAAGTTGAGCATCACTGGACCAGATTAATTGCTCTTAACATTTTTGTAGAATTTCATCATAATTTATTATCATTGATAGCTATGAGAAAGCCACTATCATGCTATATACCAATAGCTATGATAATGCACTTACCATGTACCGTATGCCATTAATATGAATATAACCTTGTGATGTATGTGCTATTGCATCACCTCACAGATGAAGCCCAGAGAATGTAAAAACCTGCCTAGAGTCACTCAACTCATAAGAGCAAAGTTGGGATTTAAACCTGACTCCATGAGCATCCTTATTCAAGAATGCCATTGCCCACTGATGGTAGTTGTGTCTTCCATAAGAATTTATGACAATGTTTCCAAAAACACTGTCATTTTCACTCAGGATGGTGACCAAGGTAGCTTGTCTTATAGTATGTTCCCATGGAAACTTGAGTCTGCTGACTCAAGGCACTGCATGCAACCCAGATTGTCACTCTCACACAGAAGGCTATGTATACAGCCCTGAGTCCCACCCCATCCCCCACCCCATCAGAGTGGGGCCTAAATTGGTGCCTGCCTGCTGTTCCCATGCAGCTGTGAAATCAGTAGCCATCTTACCGTCTTTTCTCTGGCTCTCTGTCTGGACTCTTAAAAAATAGGTTTTAAGTTAGTCATTGCTCCCTAGTATAATTTAGATGTTTATGTTTATTTCTGGGTCCAAATTCCATCTCCCACACTTGTTAGCTTTGTGACAATGTATGTGACTTTGGGTCATTACTTTTTTTTTTTTGAGACGGGGTCTCACTCAGTTGCCCAGGCTGGAGTGTAGTGGCCAGATCTTAGCTCACTGCAAGCTCCGCCTCCGGGGTTTACGCCATTCTCCTGCCTCAGCCTCCTGAGTAGCTGGGACTACAGGCGCCCACCACCTTGCCTGGCTAGTTTTTTGTATTTTTAGTAGAGACGGGGTTTCATCGTGTTCGCCAGGATGGTCTTGATCTCCTGACCTCGTGATCCGCCCGTCTCGGCCTCCCAAAGTGCTGGGATTACAGGCTTGAGCCACCGTGCCCGGCGTTTGGGTCATTACTTAATCTAAGTTTCAATTACTTATCTGTAGAATGGGCATAATAATAGATCATTTCAGAGGGCTGCTGTGAGGACTCAATGAGGTAATGCAAGTACGAGAATTTAGCACCATGCCTGGCACATAGTAAATGCTCAGTGAAGTGAGTTTTTGCCATGATTGTGGCTATTCTTATTTTCTCAGGATAAGAGACAACTTTTGAAGCTTCAAAATAATGAAAGGATTCCCCAAAGAAATTATCAGTAGGTTTTTAAAACAAAACATTATTAATAAAATTAAAACATGAAAACAAACCACCACTGTATTTGTTAATTCTTTCAGTTGATATTTATCAAGCCCCTGCTAAATGTCAGGCATTGCTCCAGGCACTTAGGACACCTCAATGGATGAAACAGTCTGAAAACATGAAAATTTCTGCCATCGTGGAGTTTACAATGTAACTGAGGTTTTCAGAAAAAAAACCCAAAATCATGTTAAATAATGAATATAATATATTAGAAAATATAAAGACTATGAAAATAAATAAAGCATGGTGAGGAAGTTGGTTGTGCCAGCACTAGATGGCAAGCTGCAATCCAAACCCGGTGGGCAGGGTAGGCCTCAATGAGAAAGTGACATTTGAGTAAAGATATGAAAGAGGTGAGGGAGCCAGGCAGATACAGGAGGAAAGACTCATAATTGTATATGCCCTAAGGGAGGGGCCAGCCTGGTATGTGCAATAAACAGCAGGGAGGCCTTGGTCACTGAAACAGAGAGGGGAGAGCAGGAGATGAAGATAGAGAGGTAAGTATGAAAAAAAGTGAGAGAAAGAACCCATATATGAATGCCTTTGTGAGTTAAGAAAACACCTGGGAGGATGTACAGCAGCCCCTTAAGAGTGGTTACTTTCGTCTGGGGAATGGGATTTGTGAAGGGGAACAAAGTCAGGGCATTTTAGCTTTTAAAATGTTTACCGAGGATGGAGCGATGGCAGAATAGAAGGCTCCACTGATCATCCCTCTCACCGCCCCCGCAGGAACACCACATTTTAACAACTATCCGCACACAAAAAAGCACCTTCATAAGAACCAAAAATCAAGTGAGTGATCACAGTACCTACTTTAAAATTCATATTGCAGAAAGAGGCACTGAAGAGGTAGGAAAAACAGTCATGGATTGCTGACACCACGCCTCCCCCGTCCTCCCCTGACAAAGCAGCTGTGTGGTGCAGACAGAGAATCTGTGCACTTGGAGAAGGCAGACCACAGCAACTGCGGGAGTTTGCATTGAGCCTAGTGCTGCCCTGTAACAGTGGAAAGCAAAACTGTGCTGAACTCAGCCAGCACCTGCCCACAGAGGGAATATTTAGACCAGTCCTGGCCAAGGGCAAGTGCCCATTCCAGCGGGAGGAACTTGAGTTTCTCGGCAAGTTTGCCACTGTGGGCTAAAGTGCTCTGGGATACTAAGTGAACTTGGAAGGCAGTCTAGGATACAGGGACTGCAATTCTTAGGCAAGTCCTGATGCTGTTCTGGCTCAGAGTCAGTGGACCGGGGCAGTGCGTGACCTAGTGAGACAGCAGACAGGGTGGCTGGGGGAATATTTGTGCCACCCATCCCATAACCTCAGGCAGCGCAGCTCAGAACAATGAAAGTGACTCCTTCCTTCTGCTTGAGGAGAGGAGAGTGAAGAGTAAAGAGAACTTCGTCCTGCATCTCGGATACCAGCTCAACCACAGCAGAATAGGGCACTGGGCAGAATTGTGAGGCCCCCTGTTCAGGCTCCAGTTCCCGGACAACATTTCTAGACACACTCTGGGTCAGAAGAGAAACTGCTATCTTGAAGGGAAGGACCCAGACCTGGCAGGATTCATCACCTGCTGACTAAAGAGCCCTCGGGCCTTGAGTAAATACAGCAATACACAGGTGGTATGCTATGGGCCTTGGGTGAGACTCAGATGTGCTGGCTTCAGGGACCAGCTTGGCCACAGTGGGGTAGAGCACCAAGTAGGCTTTTGGGGTCCCCAAGACCAGGTTTAGGCTCTTAGACAGCATTCTTGAACTTGCCCTGAGCGAGAGGGGAGACCTCTGCTCTGAAGGGTGAGTCTCAGGCCTGGCAGCATTCATTACAAGCTGGCTGAAGAGCCCTTGGGTCTTAAGTGGACATGGGTGGTGGTGTGGCAGAAATCCCAGGGGACTGGTGGTAGTGGTGGCCATGGGGAAAGGCTTTCCTGCCTGTGGAAAAAGGAGGAAAGAGCAGGAAGAACTTTGTCTTGTGGTTTGAATACCAACTTAATCACAAAAAAAAAGAACACCAGGCAGATTTCTAAATCTTTTCACCCTATTTTTTATTTCTTTTTGAGACAGGGTCTTGCTATGTTGCCCAGGCTGGTCTTGAACTCCTGGGCTCAAGCAATTCTCCTGAATTGCTTGAGAAGAAAGAATTAGAAAGACCCAGAATAACCAAAGATATCCTGAGCAAAATAAATAAATAAATAAATAAATAAAACTGGAGGAATCACATTACTTGACTTCAAATTATACTGCAGAGCTATAGTAATGAAAGCAGCATTGGAATGGCATAAAAACAGACAGACCAATGGAACAGAAAAGAGAACCCAGAAATAAATCCATATGTCTACAGTGAACTCTTTTTTGACAAAGGTGACAAGAATGTATATTGGAGAAAGAACAGTCTCTTCAATAAATAGTGCTGGGAAAACTGGATATCCATATGCAAGGGAATGAAACTAGGCCCCTGATTCTCATCATAGGCAAAAATCAAATTCAAATGGAATACACAGGTAAATCTAAGACTGTAACCTATGAAACTACTGCAAGAAAACATTGGGGAAACCCTCTAGGACACTGGTCAGGGCATAGATTTCTTGAGGAATAATCCACAAGCACAGGCAATCAAAGAAAAAAATGGACAAATGAGATAACATAAAGTTAAAAAGCTTCTGTATAGTAAAGGAAACAATCAACAAATTGAAGAGACAACTCACAGAATGGGAGGAAACCACCCACCTGTGCAGTGGTGCGTGCCTGTAGTCCCAGCTACTCGGGGGGCTAAGGCAGGAGAATCGCTTGAAAAACCCGGGAGGCAGAGGTTGCAGTGAACTGAGATCGCACCACTGCACGCCAGCCTGGGTGACAGAGTGAGACTTTGTCTCAAAAAAAAAAAAAAAAAAAAAAAAAAAAAAAAAAAAAAAAAAAAAAAAGAAAGAAAAGAAAAGAAAAAATAAAAACAAAAAGAAAACTACCCATCTGATGAGAGTTTCATAACAAGAATATATAAGGAGCTCAAACAAGTCAATAGGAAAAAATCTAAAAATCTGATTAAAAATTGGGCAAAAGATCTGAGTAGACATTTCTCTAAAGAAGACATACAGATGGCAAACAGATATATGAAAACATGCCCAACATCATTGATCATCAGGGAAATGCAACTCAAAACTACAATAAGATATCATCTCATCCCAGTTCAAATGGCTTATATCCAAAAGACAGGCAATAACAAATCCTGGTGAGGATGTGGAGAAAAGGGAACTCTCATACACTGTTGGTGGGAATGTAAATTAGTACAACCACTACAAAGAATATTTTGGAGGTTCCTCAAAAAACTAAACACAGAGT